ACATCAGTCTCTTATCGTCATACTTTAATTATTGTTAATTGTTTTATACGTTAGATTTGATGGCAATAGAATTGAATGTTTAACACAATACGAAGTTCAACATTGTAAATTTAAATTTTATTATTATCTATGTAATATAATTACACACGTATAAGAGAAGGGTATTTGTAATCCAATGTATTCACTATTCAAGTACAAATAAAATTATTTATATTTATTTCATTGTAAGTATTTTCATAATTACAAAATTTCAGTTTGATAGAATTGTAATCTCAGATAATTAGACTTTAAGATCTATTACTTAAGAAATTGATAATTATGGCTTACAAAAAAATGTTTCATATATACAAGTATATATAATTATATAAAATAATATAAAATTATATATCAATAATAATAATAAAATAGAAGGGCTACAAGCTAAACAATAACTTTTAATATTCAATAAACAAACATATGGTCCGACAACGATTATGTCATAATACCCGGGAAAAAAATATTTTATATATTTGTATATAAATGAAACATATATAATTATGCATAATTCTGTATATTTATAATTTAATATATTATTTAATATAATTATATATATAATTATATTTAATTTTATATGTAAGTTTTTATATATAATTATATATAAATATAAGTAATTATATGCAAATATTACATAAAATATGTTCATTTATATAAATATATATAAAACATTTTTTCCCGAGCAGATAATATTGTCATATGTAATACTGCAATACAAATACTTTATTCCTTGTTAGTATTATAATTATATGTTATTCTATCAAAATAATGTAAATTATAATGTTTTTTACGTTATATTATTTTAAGCGCTTTATAATAAAATTCTGATTAGTCAAGTAGTTATTTCGCAACCATTTAATACCAATGTAAAACTTTTCATATCAAGAATGAATTTGACTACAAATAACAACTTTGTGAATCAATTACATATTATTATACACGACAATTATATTGAAAGTTCCATTATGTCATACAATAACATGCTATAGGGAATAAATTCAATTCTATTTATTGTCGGATACTATTATTTGAATCACATTTTTGTGTTAGTCTTCTTAATGTAAAGGTGAAACGGAGCTCGTTAATTGTCAATGTCAAGTTTCTACTATATTGTATTATTATTATGTTCAAATATAAACGTAAATGGCATTTACCAGAAAATCGAAATTTCGGCAATGTATTTTTTAGGGCTAAATGTTAATTCACTGAATCTGAATCTGAATCTGAATCTGAATCTGAATCTGAATCTGAATCTGAATCTGAATCTGAATCTGAATCTGAATCTGAATCTGAATCTGAATCTGAATCTGAATCTGAATCTGAATCTGAATCTGAATCTGAATCTGAATCTGAATCTGAATCTGAATCTGAATCTGAATCTGAATCTGAATCTGAATCTGAATCTGAATCTGAATCTGAATCTGAATCTGAATCTGAATCTGAATCTGAATCTGAATGTGAATCTGAATCTGAATCTGAATCTGAATCTGAATCTGAATCTGAATCTGAATTTGAATCTGACCACTCACAGAATGGAAAGCATTTGTAACGTTCAAACCATACCATTGACCAATCTACTGCATGTTTTATTATGTTTGGAGCTATTGGAACCATGAAACGACGTGCTTGACACGCTGTGTACAAATAGGTAGTTGCACAAATGTTATTGCAATCTAAGCACTTGAATGTATTTCTATATATAAGTTGAGTCATTTTATCCGATCGAAAAATTTCTCTATTTCTGTGAAAATATTTAGTTTATTAATAATATATGAATTATCTAATAGAAACTTGTGTATGATGTACCTTATATTTGCTAAAAAAAATTATATTATATTACATTATAATACATAACAAGTCGAAAAAAAAACGTACCTGCAATATAGACGCAGTATTTTAGCTGCTAACTGAGAAAGGCTTGAAAACATTACCGCACCTTGCCAATTTTCTTCATCGCGAACAAAGAATGGATTCATTGAAATATTTATAGTTTGCAATTTCAACCTATTTATTTCAATTGGTAGATATTTTAACAAGTTATGCGATAAATCCAAAGTCCTAAGATTTTGAACAGGTCGTTTTTTAATGCCTTGTGGTAAATGTCCCAAAAAGTTGTGACTTATGTTCAATTCCTCTAAAGCAGTCAAATTCCAGATAAATTCCGATAATTCGAACAACTATAAATTAATAATATTCATAATGGCAATGCTATTAATTATAATTATTAATTCCCAATGAACACAAGTTGTATGTAACGTACCTGTTAGTGTAATTTTCCACTCAACAATATAATCGTAACATAACACATTTGTTATATTATGGTTTTGTTATTGAGTGGGAAATTACAACAAAATTACTTTATGTTTACTTGGGTTATTTATGACAACACCACTTTGATTAGTGATTGTCGTGAAATATTATAATAACTTACTGAATTATTACTCATATCTAGAAAACGTAGAGTTCTCTTAATACGTGCTTCTTTTAGCCATGACCATCCATCTCGCCATTTCAAACAATTATGTGATACATCGAGCCGACGAAGACAATGCAAAGCGCCCAATTTTCTTGGCAACAGATCAATGTTATTATTTGATATATTCACATCTGTTAAATTTAGCCACCATATATTGTTATTGAAGGTCTTAAATAATGGCTCGTCAAACTTCAAGAGTGGTATAAAAATTTCTATCCCATTTTCTAAGATTCGACATTTTTTCTTAATTATCGTATCTTCAAAAGTTGCAGAGGTTTTTCTCTTATATTTCATCTATATTAAAAATAATTATTTAAATTAGATTTGTGATTGGTAAAGTCATTATGCATCAAGTTTAAAATATTCTTAATATTATATACTTAATATTATATAACTCTAATGTGTGACTTCTTAAGTGATGTGATTAATAAAGAATAAAAATACTTTTTATTAATACATATTATAGCAATTATTCACCATTATGTAAAGACGATGTAAGTCTTATTGTAATTATATATTATTATGAATTTGATAAATTTTGTAATTCACGTTGCCAATAATATACGTTGCTGATAATAATATACAAAATTTGAAGATTTTTGTCGTGGATATATAATTCGTTCCAAGATTTCTGTAAAAATTATTTGGTCTGAAATATATACAGTAAGTCAAGTAAGAGCGTGGTCGGCCTTACTCAAAGCTAATAAAAGATATCGCCCTAAATCTATCATGAATCCATAGAGAGCACCTTCGTCCTTGATGCACTATCAAGTAAGATTCAGTTATCATTGAACTTTCTTAAAAGAATCACATTAAGCGCCATGAGTACCAAAGAGTACGCATCATGCTATGAAGCGTGTTCCTCACGTTGTGTTTCTCTGCATTCACCCGAAAGGTCCAAAAATGTCACAATTAGCGGCTAAATATATGAAAAAGTCGAAATCATTCGTACAAAAGTGAGTGCAGCGATATAATGTGGCAAAAAATGTCGATAATTTACCGGAACGTGGTTCGATATGCAAAGTGGACAAAAAAAGACGATAAAAAAATAGTGAATCTGTTTTCGCGGAATCCTAGCTTAACACTGCATCAAGGACAAGCAAAATTGAAACAAAAAGGTTTAGATATATCGTATGAAACTATTCGAACCTATCTCAAGGCTAATAACATGAACTCGACCATGCTCTTACTTACTATATGTAAAAAAACGAATGAATTTTCTTAATTTAGACTTAAGAAACGCTTAGAAATTATTACGTCCAATATATCTCACATTCTGTTTAAAAAATCAAATTTTTAAATATTTAGATAAAGAAAGGTCTGCTACACATAGTCTTGTTTTTATTACCCACTTGCTTATTTTATTACTGCTTTTATAGAAAAATTTAGTACTTCATAGGCTTGTAGTTCCTAATTTATAACATTGCAGTTTTCTTTTCAATTCTAAATTAGTTAAGATGATGTTTTAACATGAACCTCGAGGAAACAGTCATATTTGGTTATTACTTATTGTTTTATATTAGAGTTACACTGATACAAATATGAAACAATATATTGTAAAAGTCGATTTTAAACTAAAAATTATACTGAAATTAAAATAATAATAACGCGCTTGTGTTACACTTATTTTTTTAAAAATTCGATTTTTTTTAAGATTATAAATTGTGTTAGCCAATTTTCAAAATTTATGTAAATATGTGTATAGTTAAATTTATGTTTAAATGATAAATATATTTAAATGATACTTACTTATTAGTGTACTAAATATTAAAATCTAAAAATACGAAGTGTGTACAAAAAATTTGTGCACTGAATTTAATTTTGTTGACATGGTGAGCTTGTACAGTGGTGCAACGTTTCGGGGGAAGGCGTCACGTGTCCTTAGTAAAAGTTAGATCACGGTCGAGTGAGATCTCTTTCTGCCTTTCGTATCTGTTTTTATTAAAGTACTTTTACTCGTGTTAACGGAATGGAGCGAGACGTTTTAACCGATCAAAGAATTAACATCAAATTTGTTGTAAAACTTACCAAAAACGGCCAGAAAATTCTTCAAATGTTGGAAATGACATGTGATGAGTCTGCCATGAATCATAGAACTGTGTATAAATAGGTGGACCGGTTCAAGAAGGGTAGGGAGAGCGGAGCGCCCTTCGATGATGACGCACGAGCGGGGCGCCCTTCAATATCACATGTCGATGAGAACAATTCAATGTGTTCACGATTTGGTGAAGGCAGACCGTCGAATTATCACTAGAATGATTGCAGAAAAACTTGGAATAAGTAACAATAGTGTTCAGACAATTTAAAAAAAAAATTTTTAAAGAAGATTTAAACATGCGGAAACTGTATGCAAAAATTGTTCCAAAAGTTTTGACTGATGAGCAAAAACAAAGACGTGTTGACTGTTGCAATGACTGGATCGAAAATGCTCAAGATTCAAATTTTCTCAAAAGGGTGGTAACTGGAGACGAATCCTGAAATTACGAGTATGATCCTGAAACAAAAAGGCAGATTGGAACCACCATGGTTCGCCTCGCACCAAAAAAGCGCGCAAGAGTCGTTCAAAAATCAAGAACATGCTCATAGTTTTTATCGATATTTGTGGAGTTGTTCATGAATATGTTCCTAGAAGATGAATCTGTTAATACAAAATTCTATATTGAAGTCTTAAAGCGTCTGCGTGAACGTGTCCGACGTACATGATCCAAATCGTGAGCGGAGAACACATGGATTCTGCACCTTCGATAATGCATTTTCGCACACCGTGTTCGTTATGCGGAAGTTTTTAACCAAAAACAATATCACTATCATAAATCTTTCTTCTTATTCAACTGATCTAGCATCCTGTGATTTCTACCTGTTCCTAAAGTAAAAAATATCATGCGGGGTGAACATTTTGTG